GCTGTATTTCCAGCATCATTACTCCAGTCTTCAGTGTCACATGTTCCTTCAGAAATCATTCTAATATGCTGATTTGTGGCTCAAGAAACATTTTTTATTTGATCAATGCTGCATGTTATTTGTGCGGAAACTGTGATTTATTTGTTTATATGTATTTATTTATTTATTCAGCATTGTTTGATGATTAGAAAGTCAAAAAGCATTTATTATTTTTGTATAAGTCTTTACTGTCACTTTTGATTAATTTAATGCATCCTTTCTAAATGAAAATATTAATTTCTTAAAAAAAGTCTTACTGGAACTCTGGAACAGTAGTGTAGTTATTGTGATTGTATGGTGATTTTAATTGTCCCCCTTGTTTAAAAAAAATATATAAAAAAATAGTACACTAAGCATTACTGATATGGCTGGAGACATAGAAAGGAAAAACAGTCATCTTTGCACTTACGTACATTCATATTCTTGGCATGCATTGTCTTACCAAAGTGACTTATGAGAAAAGTGGCTCTAAATTAAATTGAATCCATCTGATATTACATCATGAGTGAGCGGGATCCATATTCAACATAAAAACTAGCTGAAGTGGTGTCTTAAAGGGACAGTTCAGCCAGAAATGAACACTCTGTCCTGAGTTCCTCGCCAAAAACCTGTATGAATCTTTCTGGAACACAAAAGAAGACACAGCAGAACAGAAGCTGTTCTTTTCTATAATGAAAGTAAATGACGATCCTTTGAGGTTTGGACTTTAATCAAACTTGGCTGTCTATTCAGTAGAAATGTAAAACCAAAATAATAATAATAATAATAATAATTGGTGCTCTGTCTGTTTTCTGGTTAGATAGTTTTATTGTAAATAAAAATTTCATTCATTTTAACAAATTTGAACAAATGTTTTACACATTTAAGTCTCACAGTCACAGGAGACTATCCGGCTCTACAAAAGTGATTATTCTTAAGAAAGTTTCACTTAGGTTTAAAGATAGATAATCATACACTCTTCAAAATAAAGATTCCGAAGAACTGTTTTTGGTTCTCCGAAGAACCTTTCAGTAAGCTGATCTTAAAAGAACCATTTTCTTTTTATTGTGAAGAACTTTAGAAAAATCTAAAGAATATTTTGTTCACTTTAAAGATCCACTTGTTGAATGAACGATTCAATGAATGTTAAAGGCTCTTCGTGGAACCAAAGATGCCAATAAAGAACCTTTATTTTTAAGAGTGTAGTGTAAATTTAACATAGATACAGATGGTGTATCTATTGCATCTGACATGTTTATTTTTACTGACACAACTCAGAAACTCAAAAAAAATTCCCCATTATAATTATGACTACATAGTGATGTTCATGTGCATTCAACTCATAAATATAATCTTTCCAGCATGACTTGTACAAGTTATTCATTTACATATATTAGCAACATTGTAACAATAAAAACCTGGTTCTAAAGCTAAACCCAAAAAGCTAAATGCTATGTATATAAAAAAAATACTAAAATAACACTAATCTCCATAGTTTCTTCCACCAGTCTATGGGTATCTCATGTATTATGGCTGAGAGCTGTTTATTAAACAGACTTGATGAATTGCGAAACATTTAGTGAATTAATCTGATTAATGTACCAATTAAATGGCATTTAAACAGTTTCACACCCCACCTACACTGCAAGCGATTCAACATGCCATGACAAAACAAGTATACTCCTATTATAATCAGCACACTTACTCTCAGTCTATGCAGCTATGTTCATTAATTATAATAGGAACGTTATAAGTTGCCACATCACTCACATGAGCAGACCCTAAAGAAGTGAGTTTTCCACTGTTTCGCCAACAGTCAGACCGTCATTTATCGTTCATTTATCGTTAAAAGGTATATTTAGTAAAGGCAGAGCGAGTTCAGTGTTTTGTAGCTGAGCAGAAGGGGTGTTTTAACAGCGACAGTGTCACCGAGTGCGCTGGTGGATGGATTCGCTGTTTAAGTTGACACAGCTGTGCACCAGGATGTCAGATCGAACCCTGCGTCTCTGTTTGTAATTCTCCCCTCCGAGAGCATATTTCCTCTGCTATAAATAGCCGTCCTCCCATATATGCCTGTGGATTTGTGTTTGTTTTTTTTTTCTTCCATGTTCCTGCTATATTTGTAGATGAATGGACAGGAAGGAGCGTGACTGCTCGCAGGTCTATGGCCCTTGTTTATATTCGGTTGGGGCTGGGATGATGTGAAATGACAGTGTAGTCAAGGCGACCGGCTGACAGGATGACCCTCGGTGTTGGCCCCCATCTCTCTCCGGCTGCCTTCCTTTCGCAAAGACCTCCGGCCCGTGCAGGGGCGAAACCGTGTGCGCTGCCTTTGAAAACTGCATCGGGTTGTCTGGAGTGTCACTTTCACAGGAGACTATCCAGCTCTGCAAAATTGATGATCTTGAGGAAAGTTTCGCTTAGAAGGTTTAAAGATGGATTATCTTACACTCTTAACTTCTTCTAACCCTAAACCTACCCTAAGTCTACTCTGAGAGTTAGTAGACATGTAGTTGCAAATTAATGAGAATTAGTTGACATGTAGTTGACATGTAGTTACAAAGTTACTTATAGTTAATAGAATGTCTAAAGTGGACTATCGAAATAAAGTGTAACCGTGCGTTTTTATTTTTAAACGGCGTTTTAAAGTAAAAAGGATCCTCGTCTACACTGGCGTTTTCACTGTGTTTCAGAAACGATCTCTGTCCACACTACACAACCGAAAACGCATTTCACATGACCATTCATGCAGGTACAGCCATAGATATGTATACGTAGATGCCTCATTAGCTACTGTTTCTATGGGCCGCGGTACGTAAGCCATCCGCCATTTTTGGAACGGTCTGCAAACCTTTGAGCGCGTTGACTGTGTGCATCTACAACAGCAAGTTATACGCTTGTATATCTTTGAATACTCATTGATAATTATGGTGAATGACGTCAAGTTGACTGTCCCAAAGTGGCGGACATATTCAACGTTTCTGAAGCGGTCGAATAGGGCGTCTATACATATCTACGGGTACAACAATGAGCATGATGTTATGGTTTACATGGTCATCAAGGATACGCAGAGTGAAAGTGGGCAGCCATGCCACCATTTTAAAAAGTCTCTGTTTTGGTCCATTTACACTGAAAACGCAACCCCGGAGTTTTCAAACTTAAAACGAAGTCTGCAGCGTTTTCAAAAGTCTCCGTTTTCGAGGGTCGAAAATGGCGGAGTAGTTTAAACGACAGGCGTAACTGTAGCAAAAGTTATGCATTTTAAAACAAAAAAAACGCACTAGTGTAAACGTAGCCTAAGACTACTAACAGATCAGATTCAGAATGATGAACAAAACGTAGATCGAGTAGACTGTGTCCATCAACGCCCCCAAACCTTACACAGTCCCATACCTCTTCATGGGTTCCACATTTAATTCAGTAATGTTTGGCAGTTTTGATTTATATGCTGTTGAATGTTTGATGACATGTGCGTAAGCAATGATTCGATCGCTTGTTTCGGCTTCTTCTTTGCTTGTTTTTGGATCCTGAGATTCTGTACTATTTCAGAAGATGTCTATTAGCGCCCCATATCCCCCCACCCCCACACCCCCAACTGTATAACTGTGAAAACATGGATTGCAGGAAAATTCTGTCAATGGCGGGGAAAGAGTTAATATCCATGAAAACTTTACACTGCTCTTTATTGGAGAAAAGGGTTCTAAGAGGGGGAAAAAAATTATTTTAAAAACTGTTCACTGAAAAGTTCTTAGGGGAATCCAAAATAGTTTTCTATAGCATCACTGTGAAAACCCCTTTTGGACTCTTTATATTTAAGAGTGTATAGAACGTTTTGTGCAGTGGAAGGGTTTCATGGATGTTAAAGGTTCTTCATGGAGGCTTTTTGCCAATAAAGATCTCGGGTTTGAGATCTTTTGCCTTTCCTTTCGTGGCTCCTGTGAGTTCACGCTCGCTAAGGGGATGGTGGCACTGTGCAGGACAGGATCTTTTGAGTAACGGGCTTCCTTTCTTGTGTGCCTTTTGCCTTGTCTTTCCCCTACCAAGCATGAAATTGGTGTCTAAGCGCACTTGATCTTGGCAAGGCTTCCTGTTCCTTCCTCTGGCAGGGCAGACCCGGACTGTGCACATGTCCCCGTGGACGTCCAGAGCTGATATCGAGTTTCAAATTCTGCTTCCTTTACGCTTATGTTAAGTCTCACATGCCCCCTCTTTGTTTGGTATATTATAACATTGTTTACATAGCGGGGATATAATTGGATGGTGTGTATGCAGGAACAGCTCATGTTTAAGGTTATAATTTAGCTTACTTGACTAGCTAGTTGGACAGAGGATTATTTTATTGCCTTGTCTGTTTCATGTCACTCAGTCAGCACTGGTACGAATATGTTCACAGGAAATGGCAAAAAAGGAGTAAACTTTTCCATCTGACAGAGGAACGTGCCTTTGATTTGTCAGTGTCAGTGAAATGTTCACACTATTTTTACGCTTTTCACCACAGACTTTGATTATTTTCCCAAACCTGACGCTATCAAAGCACATAAATATTGGGTCAGGTAGTCCCAAATACCTAAATATTGGGCAATTAGGTTTTGGTTTTGAATGAATTGTAAGGCCAGGAAAGTGCTCATCTGAAAAGCACTCTTCTCATAAGCGCAAAGCAGAAATGTACAATTGATTTCAACAGTGTTGGGTGTTGGATTAATCGCAATTAATCGATTTGACAGCCATAAATAAAATATATGTCAGCAGCATTCTCTAGATTTTATTTTTTTTGTGTGTGCGTTTTTTATTGAGCATTCTGGCATTGATGGATACTGCCTGGATATAATGCTACCTTCGATTGTAGCCCAAATAAGGTGTCTTAGCTCTGAAACAATAAAACATGTACAGAGCTAATCTATTCATCACTACTAGTGATTTTGTGCTGTGTGCAAACACTTAAATGGTTCTTGACTTCTTGTTCTACCTCTCTCTTTCTGCAGGCGAGCGTGAAGGAAGGGCTTCTTCTGAAACAGACAAGCTCGTTCCAGCGTTGGAAAAAGCGGTATTTCAAATTGCGGGGACGGACGCTCTACTATGCCAAGGATGCCAAGGTGAGCTATTCTTTCATTAGATCCTGATACTGATTCTACACCCTCACTACACTGTAAAAAATGTCAAACCTTTTCTTGCTGCCTTAAAAACAGTAAACCGTTGCACTTCTTAATTTTATTTAATTACTGATAAAGAAAGTCCAGTTGTGTTCAAAAACATTTTTTATAATGATGCTAACATTTTTTACAGTGTAAAGTAAGCCCCCTACAATAAGCCCCCTGTAAGCCCTACAGAGTGATCTAAGGTAAGGGGGTAAAAAAACCTGCTTGACCATGGTTCCTCTCAGGACCTGAGTTACTGGGCATGCCAGTGCTGAGAGGGGCTGAAGAGCTGCACATGGGCACCTGCATAGCACCTTCTGCCATGCCTAATATATATAACGTCACTATGTGTGTGTGTGTGTGTGTGTGTGTGGTTGCACTATGGCAGGCGGGTGGCGTTTTGGCCCGTTGGCAGTATCGGGTCTCTCGTAGCCGCGTGTGCTGGAGGGTGCTTTCCGTCTGCTGGACCGGTGCCCGCCGTACGCCGCCCGCTCTTGGCGCCAGTGGATCGGAGGAAGGTTTGGTGGCGATTCGGGTCAGCAACAGCAGCGACCCCCTCTTTATCTCTCTAGCCTTCATCAATGACATTGCTTATTTTCCCATCACCCTGCTGGCATTGTTCGGGATGCCCGTTCTCCTCATTGGACAACCGAAGCGGCATCACGTCATTTCCACGTCTGCTTGTCTGTTTAAGCATCTGAAGAGGAGAGTCCTGGAGACGTGCCTTGTATGTCATTGTCCGTGTCTGAGGGGAGATGTTTTACCCGCGAGCCTTGCATTGAGTGTGTTCGCCTCCATTCGTATGTTCTCTGCCCACCATATGGTTACGGATGGCATTCAGGCGTTGGGTCCGTGGTCTGATCCGAATCAGGAGAGAAAGAGTGGATTTAGTCTAAAAAATCGGCAGTTCATAGCTATGCAGCTGCCATGACGCAAGCTAGCACTTCCTGCATAGCACTTCCTCCTGAATGAAATGGAGTGGCACCAGCGCATGGCGGCAGAGAGCTGGGAGTTACGACACAGACCTCACAGGCAGAAACGAGGTGGCCGATCGCACTGCTGTGCTCAGACGAGAGGGTTTTGTTTGCATTGGCATGGCACCCGGGTCTGTGACAGACTCATGCTGTAGAGCGGCCAAGCCTACAGATCATAAATAGGACGTCACACTGTTTACACTGCCTGAGCATACAACCATAATTTACTCAAATATCTGCAAATCACCACCCAAAACTCCCACAACATCTCTCAATACTGTGTAAAATGATACATAATTTTATTCTAAACAAGCATGACAAATTTAAGAGAGATTGGGCAAAAAAATAACACTAACAGTTATAAAAATTAAAAACACAAGTGTTGTATGAAAAATTGCATCTATAACCACTAGATGGCAGCGGAAGACCACTAATGGCCTCA